CATAAAACAATTTGAGATATCTGGAATGTAAGGGCGGTAAAACCGAATTTATATTAAAATGGCTTGCCATATAGACATAATATAAGGATAGACGCCTCATGGACCGCTCTCGCCTATTGTCGCTGACGAGATTTAGGGCGGCCATCTTGGAGCGGTCCACCACTCCACTCAGCGTTATGTGTTGAGCAGGCACAATGACGTATCAGTGCATTTAATCGATCATAACACGCTTTTTTGTTACTGGAAACCATATTCAAACATCTATCAAAGCTACATTTATAAACAATTGTATTTTTAAGTATGTTTTTAATACATAGTTCATCATAGTTAAATGTTAAATATGCTTAGTGGCTATAACAATAGAATAGGAATGGAATATTCTGATATTGATGTATGAAGAGCATATTGCAAAGCACACAGCCGTTCATAATTTATTTAATAAATTATTTAGTAATATCAATACATATTTATATAACTATACAAAGACTAATCAATAGAGATTGATAATGGCACAAAAAATAATGATTAATAGTGAATTATATATATATATATATATATATATATATATATATATATATATATATGTTTATGTTTTTCAGCAGACGAGTCCAAAATCCGGTGTGAGATTCATCCGTGCTGCAGTGAATCCGTCTCTCTTTATAGATATCTCCCTCTTCTTCCTCACATCGTGTCTTTAGGAAACTTTCTTTTTCTTTTTTTGTTACGTTTTTTTATGATAAAACAATAACAGGAGATTTTTCTCCTTACAGGAAAAAGCAATTGGTACATTCGTATCAAAGAGTGCCACAGCCCCCTCCCCTAAGCCGCATATTGTGGTGGACAGCCCCCACTCTGATTAAAACGGTGAGTCGCTCATGTGTTTATTGGCCCGGAGCATTCCACAGATAGCATTAGCTCTCTTGGACTCTGACTTTTTAATTCCAGCACACGTCCACCGCTGTGTGGCAGATGCTCTCTGGTCCAATTAACACGGGGGCATCTAGTCGGGTCTTAAAAAGCATGACCAAACTGTGAGGGCGCGATAAGGCAGAGGCTGTGAAGTCGTCAGATGTTGCAGCTCAAAGCTCTGCAAAAACACAAAATATTGCCAAGAATTTTTCTCTGCAAAAATCTTAGTACACTTGAAATGAGACAAAACAAACATTTCAGGAAGATAAAGAAGCTTGTTTTAAGTAAAATAATTTATTAATGATGAAAAAATACTACTTACACTGGCAGATTATTTAACTTATAACAAGATTTTTGTTATAAGTGAAATATAAAACAAAGGATTAGGACAATGCAAAGAAAATAAAAACAATACAAAATAAATCCTAAATAATATGAGAATAAAGTCCTAATGTTTCAAGAATAAAGTCATAATTTTATGACTTTATTCTCAAAGTATCAGGACTTTATTCTCATTATTTTGGTTGTTCAAATAATGAATATCCTATTGATTATTTGAACAATGAATTATTATTCATTATTTACTAATAATGAATAATTATTACAAATATTCTGGTAATATTATGACTTTATTCTCAAAATATTAGGACTTTAATCTCATTATTTTGACTTTATTCAAGAAATATTATGACTTTCTCATTTTATTCCAATTCTATTCTCATTATTTCAACTTATTCTGGTACGAATTTATCTTGCAATATTATCATTTATTCTCAATATACTTTGTAATTTTATTTTTCCTAAGTACGGTCCTACTATTTTGTCACAGAAATTATCTGCCAGTGGAACTGGTCCTTTTTCTTCAATATTAAGGAATTATTTACTTAAATAAGCTCCTATTTTTTGCTGAAAAGTAACTTGTAAGTTAGTTTTGTCTTATTTCAGGTCTACTAAGACATTTGCAGAAGAAACTAGACCAACTTGGTTATATTTTGTTTTTGCAGAGCATCATCTGTAATCTAGATGTTATGGGTTATGTAATGCTTCTCCTCCTCCTCCTCCTGCCTGACTTGCAGAAACTCCATGCTGTTTATATATTATCCTGTCTCCCACTGTCTCACGCATGCTTAATCCGCCTCTTCTCTCCTTCCTCAGGTCATTATCATCTCTACGGCTCCAGATTCTCCTTTTTTTATTTTCTCTCTCTTGTTTCTTCTCCTCTCATCTGTGAATAATTCTCTCCGTCAAAGACAAGAGAGACGTGGAGACGCTGCCAGTGTCCAGCTGCTAGTGCCGTTTTGCTCCTGCTAATGAATACTCCAACTTCTGCGCTGTGTTTGCTGAGCTGGAGGGGAGGGGGCGGAGCTTCACCCGTCCTGAGCTGCAGTGTGAACATCAGACTACAAACACATGCAGACAGGAACAAAGTCAGGTGTAAATCTGGGACCTAGCAAGAAGTGCACACACTTTCCTCTCTTTCTGTCTCTTACACACACACACACACACACACACACACACACACACACACACACACACACACACACATGCGGATACACAGAGTTTGTAGTATGTGTGTAGTTCATGTGCTCTTTGGATATGTGTAGCAGTGACGTGCGGTTAGGGGAGGCAGGTGAGGCAGTGCTTCACCTGTATGAGTAAAAATAAGAAGTAAAATCAGATTTTCCACTTTTTCTATAAATTGTTTTTTTATCGGTTATTTCAACATTTTTATGGTCAAATTCGCTGAATTTACACTGCATTGCCTGTTGAAATGCATTAAAGAAGACCAGCGTGAGGCAGTGTAGTACCGTGCCTCACCTCTGGGGGCGCTGTATCACCAATCTACTTGCTTAATTGCACATTTTCTACACATGTTGACTTTCCATAGTATGTTTAATTTATTTAATGAATGTTTGGGACACATTTAGTCTTTCTGATTGGCCATAAATGTGCAGTGGAAATGGGGCGAGTGAGGCAGAAAGTACCATGCCACACTGATAGGGGGCAGTGCTGAGCCCAATAGACGCAACGAGAAACAGATGCTCTTCTTCTACACTTTGAAAAGAATGAAATCAGAGATGGAACAAAACGTCTTTGGCTGCCAGACTTTTTGAAAATAAAAGTAAAATCAGAAATAATTAATTGATTTAATTAATTGTTTAACAACACAACAAAATAAATATTTGTGGAGAAGGATGAGTTAATATAAAATAAAGGTAAGATCACATACAATTTTCAATTTTAATCAGAAAAGAGAGAGGTCAGCCAAAGAAAACATTTAAATAATCAAAAAAATAACCTTTTAAATATTGATTTATCTTTCTTGCTATTATATTGTTAGATATAGTTATTATAAAATTTGAAATATAGCATCCATGGACCCATTCGGCGTGACATCACATGTGCAGGATCTCACCCCCACCTCCCTGCTGGAGGGCAAAAAGCTGCTTGCTAACAATGACTAGCATTGATTTTAGCTGTGAAGTTGTCAATATTACACACTAAATCTTAAATGTGCGCCAGGTATATCAAAGAAAAAAAAGGATGCAGTGCTTTACTACTAATTTTCGACACTATGACAACTAGATAACAAGGTCAGGAAAAAGTTTTAATTAAGAAAAAAATACTGAGGAAGAGGGAAGTAGTTCTGTTATGCTAGCTTGACTATGATAAATGTAATATGTAGATGTGATGTGGAATTCTGTGTTTCGGTTCAGTTAAAAAATAAAAAAAGGCGATCTGAATACCAACTCTGACAGATTATCAGTAGAGCAGGTGTTTAAATTAGCTAATCTACCACCACAGTGTTAGCTTAGCCAATAGCAGCGGTAGCTAACCTTCCACGGCGATCACTTAAAACAAACATAAAGCCTAACAACAAAATACTGTGACAAACTGAATGTTCTGTTCTTTGTGTGGGAAGTGTTTGACTGTTTTTTGATGCTGAAACCTGAAACAAAGTGGTGTTGTCAGTTGCTATGGCAACAAGCCTGCGTTTAGCATAGCCAACACAGTGTGTGAGAAAAAAGTAGTTTTGAGTTGTTCTTTAACGGTTTTTCTCCATTATTTTTCCCTTTGCTGTGACGCACTGCACTAAACTAATAATGCCTACATCTCCAGGCTTAGGTAATTGTTCAGAAGGAATCGTCTTTTTGCCCTCCAGTGATTTCAAGATGTAAACAATATCATGCAAGGGGCCCATCTTGGATTTTGGACTCTGGTGAAGTCCGTGCCTTGCCGGTCGTGAGCCTCGCTGCACGTCACTGATGTGTTGTAGTTCATTCTAGACACAAAAAAATAGAAAGCCATCATAGAGTGGTCATTTCAACCAGGACCAAAGCTTCATGCACTTGTACAGACTATGGAGAGAAAGTTAAGTTTCAGGAGGAGGAACAAAGATTTAAAAATCCCAAACATCCGTTGTGCATCCATTTGGCGGTTTGAGGGAAGACGTTTGGCTCCTATTGATGTCAGATGAGCGGGAAAATGAGGACGGACTCGTCGGCCTCAGCATGTTACGCAACCTTGAAGCGTGTCCCTCTTCGTCTTTTTTTTAAATCATCCAAACATCTCGTCAGGAGGGGAACTTTCTCGCCAGACTTTTACGGGTTTCCAGGATCGGGGTTGGACTGTTTGGATCGCCACTCGGTTGTTTTTCTACCATTCCAGGACTTAATGTTTTTGCTTTCTCAGTCGAAGAAAAGAAAAAAAAAGAAAAGAAAAAGTCATTGTCACGCTTCAACGGGTCAAATTGTTGTTCATATCATGTCTCTGACAGGACTTTAGAAGGACACACACTTCTGTGTTGCTTTTATCAGTGTGTTTCAGTGTTTGTGGGCGTGTTTGTTTTGTACTCGTGTGTATGTGTGTGTTTGACACGTATCTGTGCTCACCGTCGTCCCCTCTTCCTCCTCCCATCGTTTTTCTGTCTCCACTCCTAAAATTCAGGCGTCTGCACTGAGAAGTTTGCTTCAAAGCCAAACCTTGTCTCGTTTTGTGTCTCTAAAGTGTGTGAGTGTGTGAGAGACAAGAGAGCGTATGTGTGTGTGCGTGCGTGTGTGTGTGTGTATGTGTGTGTGTGTGTTCTACTTGTGCCTCATTGCACTATAGGTGGGGAAGCACCGTCTTTGATAGACGTTAGTTTTTATTGTCTGTTGTCTCTGATAACTGCTGCCAGTCACCAGTCAGCCCTCCTCTCCTCTCGAACCTTTTGCCTGATGTAAGTAACCGTGTTAATCGTGTTCTTCTTTCACTAATTTATGTGCTGAATGTTGGCGCGAAAAACTCAGATGGGATCGAAAGTGGTGAGGTGCTGGTGTATTTTGCTTATAATTATTCAAAGGAACACAACAACTTAAAAAAACATATGAAAAAACTGCTGCTTTACAAGCTGATGACTGAAAGTACGGAAGCCCATTGCTACCAATTTTAAACTGGCACACTGCATGCCATTATCGGGAGTTAAAACGTTACAGTAATGGCACTAACAGGAATCATTTAGTTTCTATCAAAGGCATGTTTAGGAAATAAAATATCAAAAATGTGAGTTTGAAGGTTATTACATTGAAAACTATTTAAAAATTGTTTTGTGTGTAATTTAAATTTCAATATTAATGAAAGTCAATTAAGAAGTCCTATTTATGTGACAGAAGTGGTCAGTTTTTAAAGTAGTAGGTTCATAAAATTCAGAAATCTCAATTCAAGTAAGTCATAAAAAAGATGTAAATTATTAAATAAAATAAAAATTATATAAAATTTATTTTATAGAAAATTAATTTTCTATTAAACTAATTTTTCATAGGAAAATTGGGTAAAAATTGTGAATGTAACATTTATGAGATTCAAAGTAATATATTTTTTAATATATTTCTAAAACACTTAAAGCTATGATTTCCAAAATAATAATTACAAAAATTTGTCAGAATTTTTAGTAAAAAGATTATATATTGTCAACATTATCATGAGATTTAAAGTTATACTTTGGATCTCAAGTCACAAAATTATTTTTTTAAAGTAAATAAAATGAAAGAAATTAGTTTGAAATTTAAATAATTTTTTTAAATTTGAGTTTCAAAGTAACTGAGTAAAAAGTCAACCATTTTGAAACCCAGGATGAGTTTGAGATAAAAAGTCATAATTCTGAAAATCTGAATGATGAATTTATTTTCATTCAATCTCTATCAAACATTCAAATTATCACAATAAAATTCAAAGTTCACATTTCCAACGCTAACAGAAATATTTATAGAAATGCAATGTGGCAGTTATGGGCTTCCGTATAGGTTTGGATCCCCCTGAAACAAAGCCGACGTGGAGGGAGGAAAAAACAGCACTTATAAACCAACAGAGTTATAAAACCACGCCTGTCCCTGCTAATGCGACTGAACTTGAGCAGAACAGTAACGCTCGGCGTATTGTTGCCACTTCCCTCTAATCCGCTCCCGCACAAACACACGTCGTGTTCTCCAGAGGGGGGATCTACTTTCTTTCTCTTTACGTCCGGATGAAGGAAATCAGGTCACTCGCTCTCTGTTCTCTGTGTTTCTCCAGTCAGGGGATGATCAATCAGCTCGTTGAAGGTGATATTGATTCATTGGAGCTCCATAATAATTCTCCTCCTTTTCTTTCCCTTCGGCTCTCTTCTTCTTCTCCTCCTTTTCATTCCACCTGCTCGTTTTTATTGTTTTTCTTCCCCAGCCCTCCATCTTGTCATGTCTCTTATCGTTTGCCCTCTCTCCCCTCTCTCATGCTGTCTTCTCTTGTTTGTGCCAGTCCCGAATGGTCATGGGGAAACATGTTTGCATGCTTATATTAACACGAATGATGTCAACTTGATGCAATGAAAAATTCTATAAGTGATGCTTTAAGCAAAATCTGACAATGAACTTGATACTAATACTACTAATGACGACTAAATGGAGACCTAGCAGTTTAATCTCTGTTGTCAAAAAAACTACAACAACAACGATGAAAATGACATTTATGCTGTGTTTATCAGTGTTCTGTTTCCTTTCTGTCGGTTTACAGTTGTTTTTTATATATATAATTTATTCAAGAAGTTTACTTTTTTATTGGTTGTTGGTGATTGAGGGCGATTGTTTCAGTCTGGAAAGGTCACAGGATGTTGGTGAATGTGTAAGTAACTGCGTGGCTGAAGCAACAATAATGGAAATAAAGGATATGTATCATCCGCTCTGGTGTTTCTCTCTTCTTCTTCTAACTGTTGCTGCGCTCCTCCAGGCAGAGTATCAAATGCAAAGCTGGGGGGATATCAGGTTTTTTACCCTCTGTAATTGACTGGAGTATTAGGATTAACATGCTCCACCTGCAGAAAAGCTCTCAGACTCTCCGCTGTGCATTAAGTCCCGTAATTATTCAGCCACTTTGTCATGAATTCTTCATCGAGGCCTGAAATACAGCGCCAGCGCTCGCTCCTGCCACTGCACTGCAAAAACACAAAGTCTCACCAAGTGTTTTTACTCTAGTTTCTAGAGCAAATGTTTTGCTTCACTGGACAAAAATAACTTCAGCAAGACATAGGAGCTTGTTTTATGTCAATAAAATTAGCAGATTATTTCACTTATGACTTGGGGAATAATGTCTTATTATAAATGAAATCATCTGCCAGTGGAATTTGTTAATTTTTATAGAATTATTTTAATAACAAGTGCCTATATCTTGCTGAAAAGTTT